GCTACTCAGTATTTTAATCAGTAGTGAATATTGGAATTCTGGCAACTGTTTTTTTTCATTATCCATTGAGATGATCATAACTTTTTTTTACTATGTTAACGTGGTAAATTATCATTTTTTTCTAATATTAACCCTACCTTGATTCCCTAGCATAAAAACTACTTTTGATCATGGTGTATTGTATTTTTTATATATCACTGGATTCAATTTTACTAACATTTCGTTGAGAATTTTTGCATATATGTTCATGAGGAATATTGGCTTATAGTTATATTTCCTTGTAATATAATTATCTGGTTTAGTTGTCTGGACAATTCTAATGTCATGGGGTGACTTGGAAAGTATTTCCTCATCTTCAATTTTCTGGAAGATTTTGCATAGAATTGGTGTTATGTCATCCTTAGATGTTTGACAGAATTGCCAGTAAAGCCATCTCAACCTAGAGGTTTTTATGGAGGGATGATTTTAAGTAAAACTTTCATTATTTAATAATTATAGGGTTTTCTTTTATCCTAATATATGTATTTAGTGCTATAAATTTCCCCCTATGTACTTCTTTTGCCACATTCTGCAAATTATCATATGTTGAGTTTTCACTTTCACTCACTTCAGAGTACCTTCTAATTTCCCTTTTGATTTCTTCTTTCTGCCATGGGTTACTTAGACATGTGTTATTTTGTGCTAATTTAAATATTTGAGGATTTTGCAGAGATCTTTCTGTTATTGGTTTCTCATTTAACTCCATTGTGCTTAGAAAACATAGGTTTTATTATTTGAATCCTGTTAACATTACTGAGATTAATTTTATCGCTCTGAATATGGACTACCTTGGTAAATGTTCCACGTGCATGTGAAACAAACGTATAAACTACTGTTATTGGTGGTAAGTTCTATGCTGTTGTTCAAGTCTTATAGACACTTGCTGAGTTTCCATTTTATCAAATTTTTAGAGAAAGTTTTGAAATCCCTGTAACTGAATTTGTCTATTCCTCCTTGCAGTTCTGTTTTTGTTTCATGTATTTTGAAGCACTGTAGTACAAGAATGCTTAGAATTGTTATGTCCTCTTGATATATATGCCACTTAAAATTATATAATGACCTCCTTTATTCCTTGTATTATTCTTGGCTCTGAAATTTATTGTATCTGATATCAATACAGTCATTCAAGCATCGTTTTGATTTGTAATAAAATTATTCATCTTTTCCATCCTTTTACTTGTAAACAATTTGTATCTTTAAATTCAAAATAAGGTTCCTATAGGCAGCATATATTTGTGAGTTTCTTTTTTTTCACATACTTATTATTATTATTAGTATTATTATTATACTTTAAGTTCTGGGGTACATGTGCAAAATGTGTAGTTTTGTTACATAGGTATACACGCGCTATGTTGGTTTGCTGCACCCATCAACCTGTCACCTACAGTAGGTATTTCTCCTAATGCTATCCCTCCCCAAGCCCTATAAAGACACATGCACACTTATGTTTATTGTGGCACTATTCACAATAGCAAAGACTTGGAACCAATCCAAATGTCCATCAATGATAGACTGGATAAAGAAAATGTGGCACATATACACCATGGAACACTATGCAGCCATAAAAAAGAATGAGTTCATGTCCTTTGCAGGGACATGGATGAAGCTGGAAACCATCATTCTCAGCAAACTATCGCAAGAACAGAAAACCAAACACTGCATGTTCTCACTCATAAGTGGGAGTTGAACAAGGAGAACACATGGACACATGGAGGTGAGTTTCTTTTCTATTCAATCTGACCATCTCTGCTTTATGATTGAGGTGTTTAAACCACTTACATTAATGTGATTATTGATATTTGAGTTTAAGTCAAACATCTTGTTATCTTGTTTTCATTTGTCCTGTCCTTTGTTCTCCTTTTTTAAATTTCTTTCAATTATTTTGAGGATTCCATTTTACCTCATACTGGTTGATTTAAGGTTTATAGTAAACACCTGTAATGTATCAGAATCTACAGTCAAGTGATATTAATATATAGAATAAGAACCTTAAAACTGTGTACTTTCATTTTTCTTCTTCTGGTCTTTGTGTTATTATTTCCCCCCTCTTCTGGCTTTTGTGCTAAAACATACATTTTAATTCTAATATCCAGTAAGTCAGAGACAATCATAAGGCTCATGTTACTTATTTACCCTCTCTCAGATAACTTTGCCCTCCACTCTCTGATAGATGATAAGTGACTGAAAAGTGTTGTTTCATATATTCTGTCCAAGTTTTAGTTGTTTCAGTTAGGGAGGTAAATCCAGTCCCTGTTACTCCATTTTCATTGAAAGCATAAATGTGGATTAGTGTTTTAAATGACGGTTAATCATGAAGGCTTTATTTTACTTCTAACCAAAGTGTGCTTCCTATGCTATCTAGAATTCCTGGAAGAGTCCAGTGTCTGTGTCCCTTCTTGCCCTACCCTGGACTAGAATGTTCAAACTGCAGCACTTCCTTTGGTCATACAATAACCTTTAAATTTACTTTCTACATTTCCTTCAACGGACTTGAATTTTTTAAGAAAAAAAACAGTAACTGTTTTATTAGAAAGTTATGAGATATTATCCACATTATCTCAATTTTGTTAGAAATACGTAAGGATCCAAAAATGTATTGTTACTATTTGCTGAATATCACTAAATCTATATTTCTTTTGTTCAGTTTTTCATTCATTCATTCAACAAGTATTTACTGGATGTACATGATGTGCTAAACCCAAATGGTCTAATCCATATCTACATCTCAAACATCCTTTTTGAACATCCTTTTTCTTTGAGAACCAAGGCACACTCTCTAAGCTCCCTGTCTGCTCTTTGTCAGAATTTGTAGGCTTTTATGGGAAGAATTTACACATTTTGTGAAGAATGGCCACAGTAAAGGAGAAAAGGAGGCTCACCAAATAACGTATAGAAATGATATATAGGCAATGCCTTAGGAACCTTAGACATGGCTGCTCCCCTTGAGGGAATGTTATGCTCTGCTCTCTATTGCTTTTGCTCACTTTCTGCTAGTTGCTGGTAGTTGCTTGAGCATTTTATATGGAGCCTGATCACTCACATGCTACTGCCTCAACTGCCCCTTCAGACAGAAACACTCTGTGAAGAGCCAAGAGAAACTGGTTAGCAGAAGACTCTCTTCATAGAGTAGAATCTCAAACTCAACTTTCTCTGAGAAACTGACAGGCAACTTCAATCTGCCTAGACATAGAAGAGATATGCATTTTCTATCATGGATATGATATCAGTTCACACATGAATTTAATTTCTCCTCATGAACACTTTTTTTCTTCCATTGAAGCTGGTGCCAACACTGACAATCAAAAGTAAAAAGTCTGGTAGGACATAAGCCTCTCTGTTTATCAATTTTCCTGACCTTTCAACTCTAGCCTCTCTATAATCTTCTGTCTTGTGTCTTAAGCGCCTGCAGGAGAAAGAGCTTTGAAATTACTTAGGCATCTGATTCATGATGTCTGGGGTTTGTGATGTTATGTGACATTTTCATCTGCCTATCCACTTTTCCCCTTTGGTTTCACAAGTTCCATTGCAATGTTATATTCTAGAACAGGAGTGGCAAACTTTTTCTGTTAGGACCAGATAAAAAATATGTAGTCATTGTAAGCTAGCTATACTATCTCTTTCACAACTACTCAACTCTGCCACTGTAGTACAAAAATAGCCATAGATAACATGTAAATGAATAAGCAGGCCATTGTTCCAATAAAAATTTATGGACACCAAAACTTGAATTTCATAGTTTTGGTGTAATATCCTCAAGTTTTTCAACTTTTAAAAATGTAAACATCATTCTTATAAGCCAAATAATAGGCAGTGGGCCAGATTTGGGTTATTTGCCAACCCCTGTTCTGGAATCCCGACTTTAAGTTTATGAGACTGTCTTCATACATAAAATGTGTGCATTTCATCTAATTAGCACAAATTGACGGGGACTTTATTTCCCTAGTTCTGCTGGGACACTTAACCCCAATTGTCTTCCCATAGACTTCTCATAAAGATCTCATTTGTGTATCCATTGATTCACTAAGTGATTTCCTGATGTCCAACTCCATATAGATAACAAAATTCTGTACATTCATGGATTTCAGGTGAATGTGAGCTGGTATGAGGTGGGACTATCTCAGATTGAAAGTGGGCTGTGCTTCCTCACACATCTTACATAGTCTGCTATACTGAGGAGGAGGTTTCCTGGGAGAGAACCACCTGTAAGGAAAGAACTAGACAATGTTTTTCCATGAAACAAAGCAGGGAGAGGGGATTTGTCCACTCTTTCGTAGAGTAGAGCAAGGATTCAATCCACTGGAAATTCCAGAGAAATTGGTGGGACTTTCTCACTTTGAGGATTCCTGAACATCTGCAGTGGAAGGAGCCAGTGTAGGGAGCAAAACCTAGAAAACAGAGTAATACCCAGGGGAGATGATGAGAATAGAGCACAGCAGCAGAGGAATGAAAGTACCTACTCCTTAGCCCACTGGACTTGTGAATATAGGGAAGACCTCACCTTGGAGATTTCCTCTAATAACAGAAGGGAATATCTAAAGGGTTGGGTCATGCATGTCAGTAAGAACAAGAACTTGGGAGAAAGCTCACAACCTCATTACCTTTTCTGGTCCATACAATAAGCCTGGGAGGTGATTGTCTTCATCTTACTGATAAATATTATGATCTTCAAAGAGATGTGTCTCTTACATTTCTAAAAAGAGATCCCAGAAGCAAGTTAAAATTGAGATTCTGTCACAAGTGTTTATTAAGTGCTCACATTGCTTTTATAAGGTGGTCACATTGCTTTTTATAAGTAATACGTGTTCCATTTTGAAAAATAAGAAATTATGGATAAGCAAGAATAAACTCCCTCTTAATTCTACCACAAAGATAAACACGATTTTCTATATATGTGTATAAATGTGTACATATGACTGTTTATGTTCATATTTAAGATTTAAAGTAAAAAAGAATGCAGAGAATGGTTTTTAAAACTGTTTTATTAACTTCACAATATATAATGAGCATCTTTCCATGCAGTAGGTAAAACTCCCCTGCTGACAGAAACTTACAAACTGGGTCAAAACAACATTCAGTTTGAAGCTGGTAATAGGAGACCCACAAGAAATAGGTAACATCAAAAGGTTTACGACAAAGGTACACCACAAATGTGTAAGTTTAGGAAGCAGGGGTCTCCCTATTAACTTCAGGGAAACCATCAGGATTCAGGGCATAAGGCAAAACTCATCGTGATGGTCATGGTGAGGGGGGTCAGTGCTGACTGCCCGCAGACTATGACTCAACTGTTTTTCCCTCAGCTTTTCCATCAGCTGTCTCACCTCCTCCCCAATCCTTTCCATATTCTCCTCTCTCATCCTTGCCTGTGGCTCTCCAAGCCTATGCATTATGTCCCATCTATACTGCAGGGTGGGCTGCCTAACACGGAACCGCCTACGATTTCCTCTAGGCACACAGTATTCACCAACATTCAAAGGGAGGGCCAAGGGCTCCCCTTTATTAGCAACTTGCTCCTTTTCATCTTTTTCATCATTTTCCTGGTTGACATTTTCCACGTTGAGATTGTTTAACGCTCGTTCCTCTTTGGACTCCATTACTCCTAGGAGACAGAGAGAAAATGGACTCAATTCTTGGTGAACTGATCAGTACCGAGGACAGAGGCCCGACTACCCACCTTTCAAAATTCAGAGCCCTGGATTTCAAAGGCCTTTTTTAAATTTCATTTTTTTTCCACCAGAGAGGCCCCGTGTACCCTCGGGGTGGGGGTGGGGGGCAGTCCGCGCCCCTCTCTCCGGCAAAGCCCACCATCTTCTCTGCAGATCCATCTCCAGGCCTCTGCAGGCGCCAAAATGGAGGACGAAGAAGGGGTGGGGGTGGGGGATTGCGAAGCGTGGCGGTGAAGGCACCGACTGGGGTCCCAGACTGGGCTTTCGTCATGTTCTGACCCCCGCCCCGCCACCGTCCCTCGCACCGACCTGGGCCTATCCTTACAGTCTCCTCCTCCTCCGGATTCTCGACGTGAGGTGCGTCGCCTCGACACTTAGCCTCGCAGACCTGCAGACTGCCGGGGTGGGAAGAGTGGAGGCTGCTGCAGCGGAACACTAGCGAGGACCCGCCGCCACCCGGCCCCTTCCTCGCGCGGGGCCCGGGCCCTCCTCGCCGCCCTCTCCCAGCGCCTCAGCCGCCCCGCCCCCCAAGCTGACCACCATTTTCTGCATCAAGAAGGGCGGAGCAGGGATCTCAGAAAAGATTGCGCTGGTGGCGGAGGCAGGTGCTTCAGAAGGACCGTAGCCTCAGAACCGCCGGCTCCCGCGGGGCCAGGCACTCCTCCGCTCACTAAAGGCTCGCGGTCCGGCGGCGGGGCCCCGGGGCTGCATCGTGCACCGGCTGCGTCTCAGCGCGGCTCCTCGGGGGTGGGGCATCCGCAGGCCGGGGCCGCTCCCCCACACCAACCCCAGGGACCCCCTCCTGCTCCCTTACCTGCTCCCCCTCCGCTTCCTGCTTTCGGGGCCGCACCTGGCCCGCACGTCCTCAGGGCCACCGGGAACAGGTACCACAGCCGAGAAAGGAGCGAGCGACGGCGGCTCTGACGCCAGAGCGAGGCAAGACTCAGTGTTGGCTGATCACGTGGGGCTGTTGTCATCGCCAGCGGCTCCGCCCCGGTCCCATGCCCCCTCCTGCAGCCTGGAGTCAGGTGGGACTTTCGGGCCCGCCCCGATCCTCACCGTGAGTCCCTTTTAACATCCCCAGCCTGGGCTCTGCCACTCTCCCTTCTCTTGTGTTATCTTGAGACTTCCCTTGCCTGCCCAGGAAGGACGGAAGGTATCTTCTCAGGGAGCTGTTGGCCATTCCCACTTCTCTGGGGACTTGCCTCTCTCTGCCCTTGGCTCCCAGGATTCACCTCCTTCTGCCTGTTAATTAATTTTTGACAAAGATGTCAAAATAATTCGATATGAAAAGTATAGTCTTTTAAACAAATGGTGCTGAAATAACAGAATTCTTAAAGGAAAAACAGGAACCTTGCCTTTTATCTATACTATACACAAATTAATTCAAAATGGATCATAAACCTAAATGTAAAAACTCAAATTAGAAAACTTCTAGAATAAAACATAGAGAAAAACTTTATAATCTTTGAGAAAACAATTCCTTAGGACAGAAAAAGAACAGATCACAAAAGAAAAACTGAGAAATTAGCCGGGCGCGGTGGCTCACGCCTGTAATCCCAGCACTTTGGGAGGCCGAGGCGGGCGGATCACAAGGTCAGGAGATCGAGACCACAGTGAAACCCTGTCTCTACTAAAAATACAAAAAATGAGCTGGGCGCGGTGGCAGGCGCCTGTAGTCCCAGCTACTCGGGAGGCTGGGGCAGGAGAATGGCGTGAACCCAGGAGGCGGAGCTTGCAGTGAGCCAGGATCGCGCCACTGCACTCCAGCTTGGGCGACAGAGCGAGACTCCGTCTCAAAAAAAAAAAAAAAAGAAAAAATGAGAAATTGGATTTATCAAAATTAAAAACTTCTACCATTTAAACCACATGGTTAAGAAAATGAAGTGAGAAGCTGGGAGTAAATATTCACAATATGTGTATCTGACAGTGGGTTTGAATTCAGAGCATATATAAAGAACTTCGAAAACTCAAGAAGGCAAATAATAGATTTGAATAAACATTTCACAAAACTACATACACAAATTACCAACGAGTTCATGAAAAGATGCTCAACCTCATTAACTATCAGGGAAATGTAAAATAAAGCCAGAATGAAAAACCACTGCACACCCATTATAAATGCTGAACTTAAAATGTCTGACGGTCCCAAGCACTTTTGAAAATACTAACAATAGAAACTCTCATTGATTGTTGGTGAGGGGTTCAACCACTCTAAGACTTGGTGGCAGTTTCTTAAAAAGTTAAACTTAGACTTACCATATGTCCTAGAAATTCCACTTTTTGGAATTTTCCCAACAGAATTTAAAACATATTTTCTCAAAAATATTGGCATAGGAAAGTTCATAGAAATTTCCTTTATGATAGCCCCAAAGTTGATAAAAATCTAAATGTCCAACAAGTGAACTGATAAACAAATTGTGATGTATTCATACATTTTAAAGCTGCTAAGCAATAAAAAAGTGACAAGCTACTGATACAAACAGTAACATAGATGAATCTAAAAAAATGAAAAAAAAAATTGTATCTATAAAGACACCAGCCACAATTGAGTGTTTTCTGCATGATTGCATTTATATAAGTTCTAAAACAGGCAAAACTAATCTGTACTGATATAAGTTGAATCAAATCAGTTTTTGCCTGGCTTGAAAGTTGGGGTTTTTCTGATTGCAAAGAGGCATAATGGAACTCTCTCAGCTGAGGAAAACATTCTGTATCTTAATGAGGTAGTGACTCCATTGATAAATACATTTGTTGAAATCATTGAACTATATAGTTAAAAGGTGTGTATCTTATTGTATGTAAATTATAGCCCAATAAGTTTTGCTAAAAATCAAATATCTAGGAATAAATCTAATTAAATACTTTCAAGACCTCTACACTGAAAATTATAAAATAGTTTCAAGAACATTAAAGAATAAATAAGTATAGGTATTACCATGATCATGAATGGAAACACTCAATATTTTAAGGATGTCAATTATACCCAAATTCATCTATAAATTCAGTGCAATCCATATGGAAATCTCAACAGCTCACTTTCTGTTGATGAGCAGACTTCAACTATGTGTATGAAAATACGAAGAGGTGGGCGGGGTGCAGTGGCTAACGCCTGTAATCCCAGCACTTTGGGAGGCCAAGGCGGGCGGATCACGAGGTCAGGAGATCCGGACCACCCTGGCTAACACGGTGAAATCCCGTCTCTACTAAAAATGCAAAAATTAGCCGGGCGCAGTGGCAGGCGGCTGTAGTCCCAGTTATTTGGGAGGCTGAGGCAGGAGAATCGCTTGAACCCGGGCGGCAGAGGTTGTAGTGAGCCGAGATTGCGCCACTGCACTCCAGCCTGGACGACAGAGTGAGACTGTCTCAAAAAAAAAAGAAAAAAAAAAATACAAAGAGCCAAATATAGCTAAGACAGCCTTTTAAACGAAGAAAGCTCCAAAACGTCCACTACTAGATATCAAAATTTAATACAATTATATGAGTATGATATTGTCTCAAAGATTTAAATGTGTCTGTGTTTGTGTGTGTGTGTGTCTATCTTATATGGACCTGTGAAACATACCTACCTACACAGTTACCTAATTTATGATAAAGGTGACAGTTCAATGAAGTGGAGGAAGCACTTTTCTTTTCAAAAAGTGGTTTTGAAAAGATTAGTTGGATATCCATACGGGGAAAAGATGTATATTGATTCCACCTTACATAATACATTAAAAAAAAAACTCAGTGGATTGCAGACCCAAATGGGAAAGGTAAAAATGTAATCCTAATGTAAAAAAACACAGGGGATCATCTTCATGACTTTGGAGTAAGCAGTTTTCTTAAACAGGACACAGAAAGCACTAAGCATGAAGGAAAAACATTATAGATTGCACTTTATTCATATATTAAAAAAAAAAAAAAAAAAAAAAAAAACAACTTCTAGGCCTGGTGCGGTGGCTCATGCCTGTAATCCCAGCACTTTGGGAGGCTGAGGCGGGCAGATCACCTGAGGTCAAGAGTTCAACACCAGCCTGGCCAACATGGTGAAAACCTGTCTCTACAAAAATACAAAAAATTAGACAGACATGATGGCAGATGCCTGTAATCCCAGGTACTCGGGAGGCTGAGGCAGGGTAATCGCCTGAACCCAGGAGGTGGAGGTTGCAGTGAGCCGAGATTGTGCCACTGAACCCCAACCTGGGCGACAGAGTGAGACTCTGTCAAAAAAACAAAATTGTTTATCATACACCACCATTAAAAGAATGTGAAAGCAACCTGCAAACTGGGAGAAGATATTTGCAACAAATATATCTAACAAATGACTCGTGTCCATAATATATAAAGAATGTTAAAAATAAGTAAGAAAAGGAAAGATAATACAATGGAAAAATGGGAAAATATCTTAAAAAACAACACTTCACAAAACAGAACATTTAATAAAATAAATGTTCAATAATTTTTGAAAAGATGTTCAACTTCATTACTTTTTAAGAGAAATGCAAATTACAGCCAAAATGTGATGTCACTGAACACCACCCAGACAGTCTAAAATAATAAAGACAGAAAACAAGTATTTTACAAGAATGTGGTACAACTAGAGCTGGTACTACGGATTTGGAAAACTGACAGAATATAGTCAAAATCAGCATATGTATACTCTAAGGCCGAACAGTTTCTCTCTAGATGTCCTAATCATGTGTTCATTGGTCTACCAAACAGCACTTACACATATATCTGTAATAGCACTTTAAAAATTGCCAACAATTATCAAATACCCAAATTTTTTTTTAATCAGAGAAATGTATAAATTATATGTTTACACGGTGGAATATTATTCAACAATGAAAATGTACAAGTTGCAACTACAAGCAATATAGATAGGCCTCACAAGCATAATGTTAATAAAAAGAAGTCAGAGAGAAAAAAAGAGTATTTAATGTATAACTCCATTTATATGAGTTTAAACACAGGCAAAACTAATCTGTGATGTTAGAATTCTTGGTAGTAGCAGTCTTTAGTAAACACTGGAATGAGGATTTTACAGTGTTGGTAATGTTCTATTTTTCTTTGTTGTTTTGTTTTAAATGCTGGTTCAATGGTTTTACTTTGTGAAACTTCATTGAGCTATAAATTTATAATTTGGGCACATTTACATATGTATTTATACTTTATTGACTAAATGCAAAACAGATATTCTTCTTGTCATAGTAAATTGTTAAATCTAAAACAATTTTCACACTATAGGTGGGAATGTAATTTGGTACATTCTTTATAGAAGGCAATTTGACAGGAATTATTAGAAATTTTAGAAATATTTGTACTATTTGACATAGTTATTTCACTATTTACATTCTATTCTACAAAAAATAAATGTGTGAAAATGTTTATGCATAAAGATATTCATGGTAGTAAAACAAATATAACAGTAAAACAACGGGAAAAACAAAATATGCCAATATTGATTAATTGCCTTAAATAAGTTATTACCTATTCATATCATTGAGTTCCATAAAATGATAAAAATATGCTATAAAGGGATATTTAACGATAAAGAAAACTTTTCATTATTTATACTTTAAATAATAACAAATTAGATTAGAAAAAGCGTGATCAATGGGGTTCTAATACTTATACATACATATGTATAAACATGGTTTGTAATAGATAAAATATAATCATTCCTTATTTCTGAATATACTTACATAATAGGATTAAAACAATTTCTACATATAAAACCACCAGAAACAAAAATATAAGT